TATCATCGGCCTTGCACTGGGCCCCAGAATCCTACTAGTTGGACCCCACTTAAATCCCTTGTTCAGGCAGCCTATTCAGCCTTCATTCCCAGCTGCATAGCTCCCTGAGCTGCTTCCCCCTTATGGGTGTGGTCCCCCTGGGACCTTCAGCTCTACTGGCCCTTGCCCACCTCCAGGCCAGTCAGATCCCCAGGCCCTCAGCTCCTGGGTGTTCCTCACGGTGGGCCCCTGGCCCTTCGACCCTTCCGGTCCTGGCCCCAGCATTGACCAGTCAGGGGATGTCAAGACAGGTTAAGAGTCTGTGGCCTGACTCTCTCTCTCTGGGGTCCACCTTCTAGACCCTACAAAGGGGTAACTCACCTGGTTGTGGGAGCTGGGGTTAGGGTGCCCCAACCCACCTTTCACCAGGGTGGTAACTAGCCTGGCATTTCCTGGGGACTCCCGCACCACTGAGCGCCCCACCAGGCCACCCACTCCCAGCACGGTGCAGTTTTAGGTCATGCCCAGTACTAGGATCCTCCTGACCATCCCCTACAGCTCCTCCCTTATCTCCAGGAGACACCAGCAGCCCTCCGGCCAGGTGATGTTGTTGCTTGGCCTCCAGCAGCACAATGCCCTGTTTATATGGGCAGCCCTGAATCTAAAATGGCTGCCCTCATCAGGCACCTGCCGGCTGTTGTCTTCTGGCTCTTGCCCCCTGCCACAAGCACCCACCACCCTGGACCGTGGCTCCTGTGCTGCACCAGGTGGCCTGGCCATGCCCCCACCCTGGGAAGCATTTCCCAGCCCCGCACCCTTACTAGCATGGTCCTTGGTGCCATCAGCCCAGCCACAGAGCTGGCCGCTGCCCTCGAAGCCCCCCACCCCTCACTTTCTCTGCTAGAGGGGCAGATGCCTCCCCATCTTGCCGGACCCCCAGTGCCCAGACAACTTCTCACAGCGCTAGTAGGCATGTGCCCCACCTCATACACCCACCCCCTCCACACACCCACTTACACATACACCTCCCCCCCACCCCCAACAGTACCCCAGCCCTGGCCCTCCAGTCTCTGCCCCCCATAGACTTACTTGCACCCATCTGCCGAGGCTGCTCCCACCACCCTGCCTGGCTGCATGCTGGCCACATGCCTCCAATCACACCATTGTGAAGAAGAGAGGGGCAGCAACTCAGAAAGGATAAAATAGTGTCCAGGTTAATGCAACAAGTGTACTGGTTGGGCCTGCATAAAACAGGTGGAGGTATTCTGCCAGGGGTTCCCCAATTGTCAGAAGGTCTCTTGGAGCTCAATGGTGATTGTGCCTAAACCCAGTGGGACTATAAGATTATGTATAGATTTAAGGAAGGTGAATGCTGTGTCCACCTTCAATGCTTTCCCCATGCCCCACATTGAGGAGATGTTAAAGAAAATAGGGCAAACCCAGTTTATATCTGCCCTAGACCTGACAAAAGGATACTGGCAGCTCCCCGTAGCCAGAGGGGATAAGGAGAAGACTGCTTTTGGAACTCCATGGGGCTTGTTCCAATTTACCGAGAGTTGAGTTGAGTCCATTTGGGTTACATGGGGCTGCCACCTTGTTCCAGAGGCTTATGGACCAGCTCCTGCCCCCCCAAATCCTATGCAACCACCTATATTGATGACATTATAATCTTTTCGGAGCAGCAGGAACAGCACGTGCAACATCTCAGAGCAGTCTTGGGCGAACTCGGGTAGCTGGGCTAGCAGCACACCCAAAAAAAATGCTCAGTGGGACAAGAAGAAACTAAGTATTTAGGCTTCCAGGTGGGGCAGGGCCAGAAAAAACCTCTGGCAGACAAAGTACAGGCAATTTGGTCATACCAGCCACCAACCACCAAGAAACAGTTAGAAGGCTTCCTACACCTGGCAAATTAATATCGGAAATTTGTACCATGGTTCTCCGACATAATCTGCACCCCTGACCAAGTTAACAAAAGGTAGGAGAGGGAGTGCCCCTTCAGTGGATACCTGCTACATTACAGGCTTTTGGGCAGGTTAAGGAGGCCTTATGCCAGCACCCAGTGCTTTACACAGATGACTTCACAAAAACTTTATTTTTACAAACTGATGCCTCTGGCATAGCTTTGGGGGCTGTGTTTAGCCAGCGGGTGGATGGGGAAAACTGACCAATTCTGTATGCTATTCAGAAACTGCTTGCCCTGGAGACATGATATTCCACAATAGAAAGGGAATGCCTGTTCATAAAGTGGAGTATAGAACTTTTCCACTACTATTTATTGGGATGGAAAATTATCTTAATTACAGATCACACCTCACTGAAATGGCTGTAGGCCACCAAATCCAAGAACCGGATAATGCAGTGGGCATTAGCGCTCCAACCTTTCTATTTCTCAGTAGAATACCAGCTGGTGAGGCAAAATGTGACCACCAACTTCCTGTCACAGAGCCAAGACCAAGGAGGAATTGACCAGGAAAGAGAGATACCCAAGTCACAAAGGTTGAAGGCAACTGATAAAGCCCCCTGACCTGCTTATCTAAGGGGAGAGGTGTGTCATAGGAGCCGGTGGCAAGCCCCTTCTATGGACAACAGAACTGAGAAGTTCTAAAGGAGTACAACTGGGACTTAGCTCACTTTCCTGGCTCTGGTCGGGTCCTTACCAAGTGAAGCAGGCTGCCAGGATAATAAAGGCTGGCCTGCTGGCCTTGGGACAGGCGGAGGTAAGTGCTGTGCCCCAAGGCAACCAGTGCAGACATTGTAATTGTGAATACAGGATGAAATCACATTCCTGAGCAAGGAGTGTAACTGTTCATCAGGGGATGGAGTTGGGAATTGCAGGAAGGACAGAATTTATAAGCTTTAAATCAAGAAATGAGAAACAGATGCATTTATGGATGTTTGTGTTGCGAATCAAGAAATTAATATGGGGACACTTTGAATGAATGCGTACGACAGATTCAGAACTAAGACATGAATTAATATTATATTTGTGAATGTTCAACTGACAGACATGGTGTGACTTAATGCCTAGATATTTGGTGTGTGGAATGAGAAATGAGGTGCAAAATGAAAGACTGCAAACCTGAGAGGAAAGGGGCAGGGTGTGGGGAGGTGGAGGCCTGCAAGAGAACAGGTGGTTCAGCTAAACCAACCTTTGCCCCGAGGGGCCATCAAACCTCTTCAAGACAGCCTGAACATCAAGATGTGGTGGACAAGTGAGAGGGCAGGATGAAGGACAGGTGAGTTCCAACAGAATAGTGATCTGAGAATTCACACCTGCTCACACCCAGTATAGTGTTCTTATTTTCTTTTGATACTGAAGATAATGATGTTAATATGACATTTTGCAAGAACCTGGGAAGGATACCATGGCAATGGATGCAGTGTAAAATTATAAAAAACACAGCACAACTCTATTGTAGCATCTGAGCATTGTTTCTCAGATAAAACAACCAACTAACTGATTTCCCAGAACATGGAATGGAGACACTACAGCTTGCCATAGAAACCATAAAGCCTCCCTCGAGCTGAGTTCTAACAGGAAACCAATTTTCAAGGGAAACTGGTCTGTGTCACTGTCATCAAGAAGTCATGTCAAGTGAAGCAGACATGACTTTTAGCTCTCCCTTTCAGCTCCAAAGTAGAGCTGAAATCATTCATGGGGGGTGGGGGGTGGAAATCAGTACATGGACTTAGTTTCTGAACAGTGCCAAAAAAAGTCCTAGAACAGTTACAAACAAATGTTCACAGGACATTGCGATGGTGTTTCAACTTGATCTGGAAATGCCAACTACAGGGAGGGGAGGAATAGTTTCGAAGGCATTTTTGCCTAATGTAACTACGAGAGATGTAACAATGCAGCTGGGTGCCCAGTGCAGCTGTGACACAGAGGCAGCAGTGATTTCTGACTGCCACTGTGCTGCTGGCATGATTGTATAGCTGCAGAGGATGCCGCGCGGGGGGGGGTCTGTCCCCCAGTCCGCTCCAGTTGCTCCACCCTAGTTATGCTACTGGTAGCTAACCAGTATGAGATTCAAGAGTACTGGTGAGAAGCTAGTCCACACTCCACTGCAAAACATATAAAACTCATTCAGAAAATACTACATTCCAGACAAATGGTGCCCAATCTTTTGGCCCCAGGGGCTGAAAGAGTGGTGTGCGTTTGGTTGGTCCATGGGCTGGCTCAGGCCTAATGTGACATGCAAGTCCTGGCTCTGGCCCCAGCCCCATATGTGCCAGATCAGGCCCACTGCCACTACCCTAGCCCCATGTATGTTTGATTGAGCCTGTGGCCCTGGCCCCAGCCCCAGTCCTGCCACCAACCCCATGCATGCCAGGCTGATCCCATGCATGGAGCCATGTTACCTGGTCCCTGGGGCTTTGAAATTTGGCAGTGGGGGTGAGGTGGTAGCATTAATTGCCAGCACTCCCTAACTGACATAATTTCTTGACTCTGGGGAAAGCACTCCAGGCCAGATTACATGGCTCCATGGGTCACATCTGGCCCATAAGATGGGGGTTGAGCACCCCTGTGCCAAACTAAAAGCCTGCCATGGAATCTGAGCCCCTGAGACTGTTTGGTGCAAGGATGGAAATGGTATATTTCTGCATAGATTCTGTCCCAGGTTTTAAATAACACCTACAATTAACCCAGAAAAATATGATCAGTTAATAAAGGAGCTGTGCCCCATTAAGAAACATAGATACGTAAGCACCCTAGGAGCAATGATTTCAGCTGAGTGATCTCTTGGATGTATACATGAAGAAAAGGATTCAGAAATGCTCATTTGATCAACGCCCTGTTACTGTCAAGAAGTCTGGAGTAGGAGCTGGGACTTGTGACTCAGATCCCAGTCTCCATTATTAGCAGTACACTGCACTAATTAGGTCAAGATATTAAGCCCAACACATTAAAATGTGCTATTTGACCTTGGGTGCCCAACTCAGTCAGGTCTGAATATCAGAAACTAAAGTACTCATAGCTCCAACTGAACAGTGATGCTCAGGATTTCCAATTACCAGGGTCCAAATATCTCCAGCTGATCATCAGAAGTTTTTTGAGGAGTTTATCCTTCACCTCTCAGTATCCATGCCTATAAAATACACAAAACACACAGTTGTAGTGGACTGATTAATTAACATACATAAAGCACTTAGAGATTCTTCTGCTTGAAGGCAAAGAGAGAAAGACTCCAAGTTAAACTGGAACTCGGTTTTTATAGACTTGAATATTAATAAAAACATTAATGAGATAAGAGGGAGAAATCAAGGTTAGTAAATAACCCACAGTTCTCTGGGCCCCCAAGCAATTAGCCTTTCTACCCATTTGATTCCTAATAGTGTCTTCTTTCCACCACAACTTGTCCTAATCAGATCTCAACTTCTTGGTGATCTACCACTCTGCTGATCAGTCCTTATGTGTGCTGCTTGGAAGAGTTTACAATCCAAGTATAAGACAAGAGAACAGGTTGATATGGATAGACTAATTGGCACTTAATTCCCTTAGGCTCCTAGGACCCCACCCTGCCTTGAACTGCATGAGCTGTCTTTTGTTCAGAGGCCGCAAGAAAGGGCCATGCACTGAGGGAGTCTGTGTCATGCAGTCTCATATGTCAGTGCCGTGAGCCTTCTCAAGCACGGGATTCCCACGTGATACACATCTGCTGGTGCACCAGGAAGTGTGCAGTGTGGGTGAAGCCCTCTAGCACCTGTAGGCCCTTACCTGCATGGAGTCTTTGGTGCATGAGGAGCAGCAAACTGTGGTTGAAGTTCTCTTTGCAGTCGGTGCATTTATGGTGTTTCCCCGATTTAGTGACCAGGCTCTGACCAAAACTTTCCCACAGTTGGCCAAGGGGGTGGTCTTTCCTCCTGGTGGTTCCTCAACTGCTTGATGATGTCTCAGGTGTGGTGGTAGTCTTAACCTATCCTCTCCCTGCAGGATTTTCTTGGTTGGTTTTCTGGGAAACATTTTCTTTCAGTCCTCCCAGTATAGGATCCAGATTCTTGTGATCTGCCTCTTGTGGTTTCTCTTCTTCATTTGTGCCCATAATATCATCCTATGCTAAAATAAAAAGAGAATGCAAGTATGACCAACACATTCCCTATGCTAGGGATGCAGGAAGCCTATGAAAGGGAAACCACGAGAAGCAGTGAATAATGAAACATCCTTTATGAGAATGCATACCAGAAGCAAGGTCTATCCAAGCCTTCTGTTTCAACATCTGACCTAATGACTTTGAGACAGGAAAGGAGAGGACCGCACTTGTATAGAATGCCCAGGAGGCATTTTAGCTGTTAGGAGGCTCAGGCTTTTTCACATGAGGTACTAATAGCCAATTTTTTCAAAAACATACCAGGAAAATGTGACAACTTTAAGGTACAATACTGCATAAGGAACATGGAAACACAAGAAAACTAGCTGTTCTTATGCATCCAGGAAAGAAACTGTCCTTAGGCATTGCTTACTGGCACTCCCAAGTAACACACTCTCACTGCAACCATGTCCAGATCTCTAGACAGAGTCCTATGCTTACAAGAGGACTTTCAGAAGTGAGACTGCCACCCACCCCTCCCAGTCCTAAAAGTAAAGGAGCTGATCCCCCACCTTCTCGCACTACACAGTGCACCCTGCACCCAGAGTAAGGACCCTGGACTTCAGAAAAAGCAGACTTCAACTCGCTCAGGGAACTCATGGGTAGGATCCCCTGGGAAGCCAGTCTGTGGGGTGAGGAGTCCAGGCAGGGGCAACATAGTGGGTGCACATGCACCCCCTCAGCATCTGTGGGTGGTTGCCAACCCCTGGTTGGCACTCCCCCCATCTCTTCCCCCACCACCAACAGCACCGGCGGTGTCTGCGGGAGCTCCCACTTACTGCTGCCCTGCTGCCACCACCATGCCCCCCCAGTCACTGGAGGCACACATCATTCATGAGTCTAGAAGAGCTGGCTGTATTTTAAAGAAACCTTACTGAGAGTGCAGGAACAAGCCACCCCCATGTACAGGAAGACTAGCAAGTATGGCAGAAGACCAGCTTGGCTTAGTTTACTGAAGATGGCCCTGCTAAGTCACAAAAAGGAAGCTTATAAGAAGTGGAAGCTTGGACAGACAACTAGGAAGGAGTATAGAGCATTGCTCAGACATGCAGGAATAAAGTCAGGAAGACCAAAGCGCAATTGGAGGTACAGCTGGCAAGAGAGGGTGTGTGTGTGTGTGTGTGT